TCTGGCTATTACAAATAATGCTGCTATGAACATAGCTGAGCATGTGCCCTTGTGGTATGATTGAGCATTCCTTGGATATATGCCCAAGAGTGGTATAGCTGGGTCTTGGGGGAGATTGATTCCTAATTGTCTAAGAAAGTACATATTGATTTCCAAAGTGGCTATACAAGCTTGCATTCCCACCAACAGTGGAGGAGAGTTCCCCTTGCTCCACATCCTCTCCAGCATAAGTTGTCTTCAGTGTTTTTGATCTTAGCTATTCTGACAGGTGTAAGGTGGTATCTCAGAGTCATTTTGATTTGCATTTCCCTGATGCTTAGGGATGTTGAGCAATTCCTTAAAGGTCTTTCAGCCATTTGAGCTTCTTTTGTTGAGAATTCTCTGTTTAGCTCTATAGTCTATTTTTTAATTGGACTGTTGGGCATTTTGATGTCTAATTTCTTGAGTTCTTTATATATTCTGGATATCAGCCCTCTGTCAGATGTGGGGTTTGTGAAGATCTTTTCCCATTCTGTAGGCTGTTGCTTTGTTTTGTTGACCATGTTCTTTGCCCTACAAAAGCATCTCAGTTTCAAGAGGTCGCATTGATTGATTGTTTCTCTCAGTGTCTGTGCTACCGGTGTTATATTTAGGAAGTGATCTCCTATGCCAATGTGTTCAAGACTAGTTCCTACTTTCTCTTATAAGGAGGTGTTAAGATCTTGACTCGGGATGAAGGGGGGCTAGTCCCCTACCAGCTATGAAGCTGGCACAGAGGCCACCCCCATCCCCAGCAAGAGGAGAGTGAGAGTGAGGGATCATGCTTTTTTAAAGGGAGATACATTTAAAGATTTCTGCTGACAGTCTGATGGGTTTCAGAAAAGATAAAAAATGCATTTGTGCTGAGATGACGTGTCGGTCATGACATAAGCACAATGTGCAGGTGTTCATTTGGGAAGATGGGCAGCAGCAGCAGGGCTGGCAGCAGCTGGGCTCACAGCAGCGGGGCTGGCGGCAGAGGGGCGCACAGCAGCAGGGCTGGCAGCAGGGTGGGCTGCAGCAGACAGTCACACAGGTGGTCTTGCAGCAGGTGGTCCTGCAGCAGTTGGTTTGGCAACAAGGAGAGCAGCAGGAGTGGGTCATGGTATCAGATGTGGACTTTGTTCACAATTGTCTGGAATACGATGACTTCTTTTCCTTTGGCTTTTTATATGCAAGGTTTGCGCCAAACAGTGAGCACTTTCCTTGTTGTTTTTCTTCCTCCTATATTCAGATTAAAGATGGACAAAGAGGAAGTTGTTTATGAACTGTGAATGAGGTTTTCAAAAGCAAGTATTTAGTGTATTTGTGAGTTGAGGTTAACTCCTAACAGCTGTTTCAGATAAAAGAAGGGAATCTCACCATCATTTGGTCATGTGGTGGCCCCTGCTGCCTGGAAGGGTCAGGGTCGTTCCTCTACAGCTTTGCTCCTGTGTGCTTAGATTAGGAAGCATGTGGGGAGGAACCTGACTATGCCATCCTCCCAGTGGGCAATGCAATGCCTGGTCCCCTGTCTCTTACTATCCTCAGAAGTCCCTCTCAGGAGCAGTGTATGCACATGTGTCCATACCAACCTTCACACCTGCGTGTTCCATCTGTGTTATAGGCATTGGGGAGATGGTTGGTAAAACGCGTCCCCATGCAGAACAGTACCAGGTCAAGTGAGTAGAAGCAGAAGGCTGGCACTCAGATTAAAAATCATCAACCAATGTTGCATCCTTGGTGACCAGCAGTCTTTCCCATGTCTAAATAATTTTCCAGAATGAGAAAAGTCTATATATGTAGGGCCAGAAATAACTGAGGTACATTCTAGGAATACCGAATGTTCTGGTGGCTCTTGTCCTAACCTTGTGAAGTAATGGTGTCAGTGCTCTTGGGTGACCAACTTCTCTTCCTTCCTTTGTTCTTCTGAGTGAACAGAAGAATAGTTTAGAGATGATGTTTGGGTTATAGGTAAGCTCTAACAAATTCAAAATTTTATGAGATATAGCATTTGTCTTAGTTAGGTTACTATTGCTGTGATGAACACCATTACCAAAAGCAGGTTGGGGAGAAAAGGTTTATTTTACTCACAGTTTCATACAACAGTTTATCATCAAGAGCAGTGAGGGCAGGAACCTGGAGGCAGGAACTGATGCAGAGGCCATGGAGGGGTGCTGTTTACTGGCTTGCTCCTCAAGGCTTGCTCAACCTGCTTTCTTACAGAACTCAGGACCACCAGTCCAGGGATGGCACCCCTCACAATGGGCTGAAACCTCCCCCATCAATCAATAATTATGAAAATGCCCTACAAGCTCATGTACAGCTCAATCTTATGGAGACATTTTCTTAATTGAAGCTCCCTCCTCCCAGATGACTTTACCTTGTGTCAAGCTGACATAAAAGTGTTGCAGCACGGCATTCATTAAAGAAGTGTTGAAATTATTAGTTTACAACTTCATCATAAGGTGAACATACCCGAGTCACTACAACCACACTGAGAAATTGAACTTAGTCCCATCTTCTCAGAGTAGAATCTCCTCAGATCTATTCATGAATGTAAGAAATTATAGGTTACTTCAGGCTATCTTTAAACTTTATATGGGCAAAGTAGTATAGAATTTGCTACTTTTATGTATCCTATCACTATCAATTCATCCAGGTAGTTCATTCATTATCACTAGTTTATAATCTCCTAGTAAACTAATAGGACAGAATTTCTGTTCTCTACTGTTCATGTGGTATTTTGAGGAATTATGAGCAATTTGAGGTTATTTTATTTTTATTTTTATTTTTTATTTTTTGTTTTTTTCGAGACAGGGTTTCTCTGTGTAGCTTTGCGCCTTTCCTGGGACTCACTTGGTAGCCCAGCCTGGCCTCGAACTCAGAGATCCGCCTGGCTGTGCCTCCAGAGTGCTGGAATTAAAGATGTGTGCCACCACGCCTGGCTTGGGGAGGATTTTAAATGATCTGTCTTGACTATAGTATATATAGTGAATACATTTGTGTATTCTTGATATGGCAGGGACAACTTAATATGTCACAGTTATAGTACTTGGTGGCTGTGTTGTGCATTGTCTTATCAGAGTAGCTGTGATTTTTCTCTTATTGTCTAAACTATTATATTTTTAAAATACTGATATTTATAGCACTTTTTTTCCTTATATTTTGGGATGATATTGTTTTTTTTTATGTAGTAACAGTTTTTAAAAACAAGTATCAATGTCCACATCTTCATTCCATCTCGTATTTCTGGGGACAGTTCAGTGTGGTTGTGATCATTTGTCTGTGATCACATGTCTGTGGCATGGAATTTGAATGACTTTTATGCTGTTTCTGCTTATGACACATTTCAATTCCAGAGTTTAAGTCTTGGTCTGTATCGCTGCCTGGAGAGCCAGCCTCCAGCAGCCCAGGGTATGCCAAAAAATTCACGAATGTTGCGAGGGCTAGACTTTTTCTATCTGAGAGGAAATTAAAAGGAAACACACTTTCTGATGGTAATTTTCTCTTTTGCTTCATCTTGAAAAATCTTATCTGAAAATTTGTCTCCACACAGCTATATCTCTCTTCTACACAGTTACACATCTCTACATAGCCACACATTGCTGCACAGCTACAAACCTCTATACAGCTCCGTCTCTCTACTACACAGCCACACATCTCTACACAGCTACACATCTCTCTACACAGTTCCATCTCTTTCTTGCCACAACTCTCTTCCACATGTCTCTCTTCATTTCTCTCCTCAACAGGAAACTCTAGATAATATATAAGTTACATTTTCAGGGTCACACGACATTTCTTGAGTAAACAATAAGAAACAGAGCCATTCTAGTAACACATGAGAACTCATATAGTTTCTCTCAGGCTAGAGATGTTGTGTTGACTGGGTATGGTGAGTAACCATGGCAACTCTTGGCTATCAGTCAAGTTCCCTGATGTGCAGTCTGTAAAGCAAGTAGGGAGGCACCTAGTGCTAGAGTGCTCTGCACTTTCTCAAGGGACAGTGACCTTAAAAGTGTCCCAGGACCTAAACATAAACAGTGAGTTAACTGAGCCTTGAGTCTTATATAATAAAACTGAGGTTTAGGAGTTTGTGCAGAGAGCCAATTGCTGAGAGAATTATGTCTACTAAAAGTTCTTCATCCCTGACCTTGGTTCAACAAACAGACACTTGGGAATTTGTCCTTGTACATTCATTTGCAAGGGCAACTAGTCTACCCATACTGATTTGGGTGGCCTGTGCTGACACTGGGGCCATGGTGACATCTAGGCCCAAGCTGCTACAGAGGGCCATGTCTGGGTCTGTGATAATGTCTAAGAGGAACTCCAGTGAGAACTCATTATCAGTGACTGGCACAGCAGAAGTTATTTCTACCTGGAGGAAGATATAAGTGAAAGTCCCATGAGATATGACAAGACCCAAGTGTTGAATAAGAACTTCTGTTGGCTCTGAATGTGCCATGAGGCTGTTGTGGGACTGTGCACTGATGGTGGAAGTGGAAGGCGTTCAGAATATGAGCGTCTGTGAAGGAAATGGCATTGGAGCACATAGAAACCCAGGAAAAGATGAAACAGCACCCAGACAACTTCCAGAAAGCAAATGCAGATTTATTCAGACCACATGTAATCCAGAAGACAATTTAAAGTGAGCCCAATAGTAAAGAGAACAGGAATATCTTGAAATGAAATCCTTCATCCCTGAGAAGGGGTGAGAAAGAAGAGTGAAGTTTTGATTTGCTCAAGGTGCTTGGAGATAAAGAATGAAGATTCTTTTCTGAATGTGAGAGCACAATTCAAGGTCAGGAGAAGATTAAATAGACCAGAAGCTAAGTACTAAGCAATGAGAAGGAGCAGGCTCTCTCACCAAGCAGACACCCACAATCATTTACAAGAAGACAACAAATTAATAGTTAATGATGGCAAAGCGTGCAGAGTGATTTTGTTGGAGGAGTTTGGTTAAATGATGTCAAGCTAGCATGTGGCTGAAGATAGAGTCATCAGCAGCAAGGCTGGGAGCAGCTGGACCCGCAGCCCTGGGACAGGCAGCCAGGCACACAGACACATGTGGGCTGGTAGCAAGTCCTGGTGCAGGTCACAGGTCCAGAGCAAGCTGGCTGGCAGCACAGGTTGAGGCAGAAGGGCTCACAGCAGGGCTTGAGGCAGGGCCTGCAGCAGCTGGGCTGGCAGCAGGGCTGGCAGCAGCTGGAGATACAGCACCTGGGCTGGCAGCAGCTGGACTCACAGCAGCTGGGCTGGCAGCAGCTGGGCTGGCAGCAGCTGGGCTGGCAGCAAGGCTGGCAGCAGCTGGACTCACAGCAGCTGGGCTTGCAGCAGGTGGGCTGGCAGCAAGGCTGGCAGCAGCTGGACACACAGCAGCAGGGCTGGCAGCAGGGTGTGCGGCAGCAGCTGCTCACACAGCTTGGCTGGAAGCAGGTCCTACAGCAGGTGGGCTGGCAGCAGGGCTGGCAGCAGCTGGAGCCACAGCAGCTGGGCTGGCAGCAGGGCTGGCAGCAGCTGCTCACACAGCTGGGTGTCCAGCAGGTGGTCCTGCAGCAGGTGGTCCTGCAGCAGGTGGGCTGGCAGCAAGGGGAGCAGCAGGAGTTGGTCATGGTGTTGGATGTGGATGGAGGTGTTTCTGGGATTGTGACCACCGTTTCAGTCCTGGGGCTTTTATACCCTGGACACGCCATGAAGGGACCAATAAGCAGGACTTTTCCTGGTTGTTTGTTTTCTGCTGTTCATGAGGAAATTCTCACAGGAGGAAGTGCCCCTTGAGTTTTATAAATCTTTTGAAATTATGATGTAAGCAGTTAATTGTGGATAATTCAAGGAAGGAAATTTCTAGAAGTCATCATCAACATTGTTTCTGCTCTGATCATTATTTGCTCAGGTGATAGTTGCTGTAGCCATGGGAGGGACTGAAGCATGGCCTTCTTCAGATGGTTCTCTTGTTTCCTCGGCTGTGTGTAAACTACAATGTGTTTGCAGGGAGAGTTACATTCACAGTATTAAAGGAAACCATACCCAAGGCCAGGCTGTTTCCCAGAGATGTTTGCTTGTTATACCCTACAGCAGGCAAGCCTATTTGCAGCAAATGTTACCTGTGCTGGACCAGTCTTATCAAAGAATCCATGGCGAGAAGGTAGCTTGTAGTCTTTCTTCAAATGCACCCATGAGCACCAAAGCCAGAATACAGAGTCAGACGGAAGACATGGGGGTTCAGAAGACTTTGGCTGACTTAGATCTTAGCCCTGTTCACCCATAGAAAAACAAGGAATTTAAATGACATAAGATGATACCAGCATTTTAAAATAAATTGAACCATAGTATACTTTCAGAGATGGGCATACACTGTAGCTTGACCAGATATGATACAAGAAATAGTGGGTCTGTCCTTCATATCAGGTGTGTGTGTGTGTGTGTGTGTGTGTGTGTGTGTGTGTGTGTGTGTGTGTGTGTATGTGTGTGTGTGTGTTTAGTAGCTGTCTAAAGCAAGTAGTGTGTGGTTTTTGCTATCACTTTTGTGTATCAAAAGTATATCGACTTTTGAGTTTTATCAAAAATGAAATCATATAACTCATGGTTCATTTTCTTTTGCTCAAAATTATATTTTTGAGATTTAATGACTTTGTTGGATTCAGTTGTCACTTCATTTTCATTTTGCTCAATGGTTTCATAGAATTGTATGATAGGACTACAATCTATTAATGCTCATTTCGTGACAAGATCTTAATTTTTTTTAACTCATTGTGTCGTCAATGGACATTTTTTTTATCATTAAGACATTTGAGAATCCACAACCACGGCTAGGCCCCAGGTGGAGCACTGGGAGTCTAATTAGCGAGAAAGAGGAGGGTTTATATGAGTGAGAATTGTTGAAACCAAGGATGGATAAAGCACAGGGACAAATAGCCAAACGAATGGAAACACATGAACTATGAACCAAAGGCTGAGGGGCCCCCAACTGGATCAGGCCCTCTGAATAGGTGAGACAGTTGATTGGCTTGATCTGTTTGGGAGGCATCTAGGCAGTGATACCAGGTCCTGGGCTCACTGCATGAGATAGCTATTTGAAACCTGGGACTTATACAGGGACGCTTGGCTCAATCTGGGAGGAGGGGACTGGACCTGCCTGGACTGAGTCTATCAGGTCGATCTCAGTCCTCAGGGGTGGCCTTGATCTGGAGGTGGTGGGAATGGGGGGTGGGCTGATGGGAAGGGGAGGGGGCAGGAAGGGGGAGAACAAGGGAATCTGTGGCTGTTATGTAGAACTGAATAGTATTGTAAAATAAAATAAAAAAAAGACTTTTGAGAATCATAAGCCAGGCGGTGGTGGCGCACGCCTTTAATCCCAGCACTTGGGAGGCAGAGCCAGGCGGATCTCTGTGAGTTCGAGGCGAGCCTGGGCTACCAAGTGAGTTCCAGGAAAGGCGCAAAGCTACACAGAGAAACCCTGTCTCGAAAAAACAAAAAAAAAAAAAAAAAAAAAGAATCATACTCTTATGATGATTTGTCTATTTCTTAGTCTGGTTTGTGGATGTTTGTAGATATAACAAACATTAGCACACAGTTTCAATGGTTTTTAAAAAGTCATCTGCATGTGTTGGGCAGAAAGATCGGTTGGTAAAGTGTTTGCCATGCAAGTATGAGAACCTGAGTTTGGTCCCCAGAACCCTTGTAAAAAATGCTGAGCAAAGTGGTTTATGCTTGTAACCCCAGCACCACAGAGGAGGACACAGGCAGGTCCCCGGGGTTTTCTGGCTAAGCAGTCTAGCCTAGTCAACAAGTTCCAGACCAATGTGAGACCAGCTCAAAAACAAGGTGAATGGCTCCCTGAGGAATACCCAAAGTTGTCCATATATACATAGATGCACCCACACCTGCACACATGTGTGTACCCATACAGACACGAACAAAAATGCACACACTTAAGGCTGCAATGATATATAGATTACACACCTGATTGTTCACATTGCTTTAGGTATCATCTACATTTGATGTTTTCAGTCTGGACTTTTAGCCATTTTTTTTTTATTATGTATCTGTTACAGTTTGGTTCTTAAACGTCCACTCAGAGCCTAGGTATTGAAGGCTTGATCTCCAGATGATGGTAGTGTTAAGGAGTGATGAAAGGTTTAGGGGTGGGATCTACTTGGAGGAAGGAGGTCATTGAGAACATGTGTTTGAAATACATATGGGGACTCGACTCTTTCATCGCTGTGTCTTTGTTTCTTGACGACCATGTGGCAATCAGCTTTCATTGCTCCCATGGTTCTGCCGTGATATACTGCTTCAACCCTAAGCCTAAAATCAAAGAGGTAAAACAATTGTGAACTTAAACTTCAGAAACCACGAGCTAAAATAGACGTTTCTTTTTAAGTTGTTTATTTCATTTTGTCACAGTGATGGAACACTGACTAACAGAGTAGCTATTTAGTGTTTTCTCCTTAAGGATGTAATTTGATTTTCCTTGAAGACGAATGAGTTGACTTCCCAAGCATTCATTGGACATTTAGAGTTCTCTTTTATGTGATGCTAACCGTGTCTTAATTTTGGGATTGTTTTCTTTTTTCTTATTTTTCTATTGACACCTTTGCTAATTTCATGCCTTACCAGTGTCCTCTTCTATACCATGGCCTGCCTTGTTCCTCTCTTAAGGTTTTCCTATTTATTGTCATACGTTTAGTGTGCATAGTGCTGGGTGTTCATATAGACAATTTTTTACAAGTCTGCCATGTACTTTGACCCTGTTTTCTAGTTAGGAATCTCAAGAGGGAGAGACCCCTCTTATGCCCAATGTAAAACGAACCCCCACAAAGACAGAGGAAGATGAAAAACAGGTAAGAAAAACACAGGGTTATGATCCAAGGGACATGGGCAGTTCTGCATGCTGAAAAATGCTAGGAGATAGATTTCCTCTGTTGCTGGGGGTAGAAATACGACAATACCAACTCCTGGATTGGAACCCATGAGACTGAATTTGGCTTCAGACCTCACAATAGAAGATAACACTGCTGTGCTGTTTCAGCCATGAAGCCGGCGGTATTTGTTACAAGAGTAAGAGGAAGCAAATGTATATTTCCAGTCCCACTGTGCCCGAACTTGACTTTCCTACTTTCCTATATGACTTTTCAAATGGCTCCCATGTAATTCTTGAAGTTAAGCTATATTATTTCAGAGATGGGTGTTAGAATCCAAAAGCACTTTCTCTTGGAAGGAGTGTGATTAAAATTTAAGAGTAGTGTCTAGGTGTGTCAAAAGGAGAATTTCAAAGAGCATTTGATGTTTATGTAATTGTCTATAAACTGACTGAAGATACATTTCAAAGAACACATAAATTTAAAGAACACATAGACATACAATAAAGAGAGTTAAGTTTGTGTTGTTAGAGTTTAAACAAAACCTCATGGGGTGGTCCTTCGGGTTTTGAGTTCTCCATTTCTATCATAAGAGGTACTCCTGAATCTAAGTATAAGAAACAAAAATTCAGAGTGGTTGTACAAGCTTGCATCCCACCAGCAGTGGAGGAACATTCCCCTAGTTCCACATCCTCTCCAGCATAAAGTGTCTTCAGTGTTTTTGATCTTAGCCATTCTGACAATTCTAAGGTGGTATCTCAGAGTTTTTTTTTATTTGCATTTCCCTGATGATTAGGGATGTTGAGCAATTCCTTAAGTGTCTTTCAGCCATTTGAGTTTCCTCTGTTGAGAATTCTGTTTAGTTCTATAGCCCATTTCTTAATTGGACTGTTGGTCGTTTTGATGTCTAATTTCTTGAGTTCCTTATATATTCTGGATATCAGTCCTCTGTCTGATGTGGGGTTGGTGAAGAGTTAGGTAACCCAGACTCAGAAAGACAAATATGGTATGTACTCACTCATAGGAGGATACTAGATGTGGAACAAGGATGACTGGACTACTACTCACATCACCAGTGAGGTTACCTGGAAAACAGGACCCCAAGAAAGACACGAGGATCACCCAGTGACGGAGAAATGGCTGAGATCTACATGAACAACCTGGACATGAGTGGGAGCAATGAAGGGCAAGGGTCGAGGGAAAGAGAGCAGGAGATCCCAGATGGATCAATAACAGAGAGGGAGAACAAGGAATAGGAGACCATGGTAAATGAAGACCACATGAGAAAAGGAAGAAACAAAGTGCTAAAGAGGCCCACAGAAATCCACAAAGATACCCCCACAAAAGACTGCTGGCAATGGTCGAGAGACAGCTGGGACTGACCTACTCTGGTGATGGGATGGCCAAACACCCTAATAGTTGTGCCAGAAACCCCATCCAAGGACTGATGAATCTGGATGCAGAGATCCATGGCTAGGCCCTGGGTGGAGCACCAGGAGTCTAATTAGCGAGAAAGAGGAGGGTTTATATGAGCGAGAATTGTTGAAACCAAGGTTGGATAAAGCACAGGGACAAATAGCCAAACGAATGGAGACACATGAACTATGAACCAAAGGCTGAGGGGCCCCCAACTGGATCAGGCCCTCTGAATAGGTGAGACAGTTGATTGGCTTGATCTGTTTTTGGAGACATCTAGGCAGTGGTACCGGTCCTGTGCTCATTGCATGAATTGGCTGTTTGAAACCTGGGAC